GTTGTACCATAGCGATGATTTCTTGAATAGAAGTACTATCTACTACGTCAATCCGTTTTAAGGACTTGGTCGGTGGATAATAAATGAAATATCGCATTTTTTGTCAAGTATCAACTGATTCACCCTAAAATGGTGAAACAAAGCAAATGCTTATTACATTCTTTCTAAATTTTAATATTGCTGTTCTTTACACAACACTAGACTATCTTGATAATCTCTTCTCACTATCGAATCCATATGGTCATTTAGAAATAAAACTGTTCGAATCTTTTTTGTAACTAGAAAACTACATTTCTTACAACTAACATCTAATACATGAAATCAATATTCAGATTAATGTATTCATCCTGCTCATGATTGTAGCCGCGTTGTCATTGTTACATATAGTATGATTTATTCGTAGATGATGCTTACACATTGTTTTCTTTGCGTTGCCACAAGCTTAAGTGCGTGATGAAGTAAAAACATTTATCCAAACAAGAAGATAACACTAGTAAAAAAAACATCATTGTAGATGAAGAAAGAGTTGCAGGTGAATGAAATTCATAATTACTTGCAACTTGAATAAGCATCCTTCAAGAGTTCTACTTGAGTGCTCATTTAAAAGCAACAGACTGATGATGTAACGAATAACGATTAAAAGTGAGAAAGTAAGAAAGAAAGAATAAAGAGAAGGTTGAAGTTATTAATCGATTTAAACATCGACTAACATTCTTTTTTGTTTTCTTCCTGTCATGAGTATAATGAAATTTGAAACACATGCCATGGTATTGTAATGAGGAAAGTGATTTCGCATAAAAAACAGAAGGTTATGCTATCCAAGCAACTCTCATCGTCTTTGTTCTCACTGATGTTAATGAAAAAGAATGTGCATTCAATTCCATGTTTCATGAAGAGAGTTGATTATCATTTACGCGAAATTGTAGATCAAACATTTTGATAAATCAATCTTTAATAAGTTTATCAATTTATACTTCTGCTGCGTATGAACATCAGCAACATGATTAGTATCAGACCGAGACTTTATGCGCTGATTATCACTCAGTGAAAAATTTTATAGATTAAAACCAATTAATCGCTAAAAATTCTGTGAACACAATCGAAATTGATAATCTAGTTTTTTCGTACCAAAATCAAAATTTTAATCAACGGTCATACCTACAACCACATCCATAGCTACTGCCATCCAGACCCGCAACCAGATTCATATCTGGTATATACTTCTGAATAATTGCTATCTCAATATAGAGACACTTGCGCATATAGATGTGCACCTCCTACGAACTGTGGCAACTGTCAGTCATGATAAGTCTTTGCTTATTTTACTTTTTCTCTCTTTCCTTGTCCATTAGTGTATGTTGCTTTAATCCTGCCTATTTTTTTTCTCTAGCGAGTACTGTATTTTTCTATAGCTCTTCTCTTTTGCTTTTTGTCTTTCTTCTCTTACACTTTTATTACTATTTTTTCAAAAGCAACCTTCTCGATATGTTGACATATGTAAGAAGCAACCTTTTATTGTCAGAGGAGGTATTTGTTAGCTTGTTTTGCAAGAGAAATGTTGAAGTCAAGGAAACGCGCAAAAAAAACTACCATGCCCATCGCTCATTCGCTCAAACATGCATGCTCGCATATGACTGCATCGCCTCACAAACGAGTCTGTAAGTCCTAAAAACAAGAAACAAAGACTCGGAAAACGGATCTAAAGTAAAAATAAAAATATCAGGCGACTGAAAATATCTGAGTGCGCTTGATATCCTGTCATCATGCCTGTACATCTGGTTCAAAGTTAGTAATCGTGCTGAAAACGGCGATATATGATGACTTGTTGGATGTAATCGGTATTATTCAAAGACTTTTCAATTGCTACGAGTAAGATCCAACAAAATATTAACTGAAAATCTTCAGTGATCTTCAATCTAGAATACTGCTTTCCAGAGATTGCTACAAAACTTCAACAAATGTTAAGATAATTATAAGTGACACAAATTCTCACTGTCTTGTGCCCCAGAAGTATGAGAAATAAATGAGAATACTAATCCATTCAAGTAAACTCAAAATCAGTCATTACTTATTTTCATATGAAAGACAATTAAAAAAATGAATACTATAATTGGGTGCCAATGTCTAGAATGTGCCTCTGCACTGCTACATGGAATGGGACTTCATGTTATGAAGTACAGTACATGCAGTGTATTTTCTTTTAGTATATAAGCAATCAATATTCTAAAGGGATTAATAATTTATTGAAGGAAGATACACATTGTTCCTTGAAAAGAAAAGAAAAAGAATTTGTTCGTCATTCACTATTATTACAAAACCAATTTCACATTTTTTACTTCTAACACAAATGTCAATCGACACACTTATTTCTTTCGCTACTCTATACTCTGTTGATTGATCGTTATAAAAATAGAATTTTATTTTTTCGCTTTCTCTTCACAAGATAATAAAGAAAAAAAAGTACATTTTTTTACTGTGACAAAAAAAATATCACCTAATTAACGTCAATCATTTGTTTTCTTAACATAATTCATTTTTAAGGATGAGGTTGAGGAATAAGGAAAATACAATTGCTTCATTTTATAATTTATAGCAAATAAATTTTTCATGATCATTCAAAAATTTATTTCAAAAAATTGTATTCAATTGAAAGAATTTCTCAATTAAAAAAAGAAAAAAAATTAACCATCCCGTCTTCAAATAAAACGTATGAAATTCTCTACAAAATGATACTACCAATCGAAGACTCATAGTTTTTGGGATGTGCTCAATAACTTAGTTTTAAAATTTTCAATAACATACTTCACTCAATAATACGACTTATATCTAAATTATATTGGAAAACCAAAAATAATTGGAAGCGAATAACTAATATTAATTCATTTCTTTTGTTTTGTTTTATGTGCTGTTAGCTTTTGATATGGGTTAAAAGAGTTGACTTTGACAATCATTTTGACAAACGAAAAACAATTTACAAGAAATCGAACAGATCTCAGTCGAAGAGTGTTCATTCTTCAGATATATATTCATTCTTAAATAGATAAAAAATGATTCCTCTCGATTCGATACAATGCGAGTAATACTTTGTATTATCAATAAATATCATCCTAATTATTATGTTTGTCTCTAAGTAAAGAATAATACCTTTGTTAATAATAAAATAAATTTCGTTTTTTACAACTACTACTAAATGACAGATATGTCCTTTTTTTATTGTAATTTACAAATAAAAGATCAATGATAATCGAATAAAATATTTGGCAATAGTTAATGTGACAAACAATGATTTTATTCCCTTCTCATTTTCATTTTATTGAATAACTAACACCTACTAATTATTAATGATCTCATTATAATATGTTCGAAAATGCCGTTTCTTTTTAATAATAATGAAATCTTGAAAAGCTATTTGTGAGAATAACTTATTCACAATCAAGTTTATATCACTCAATGTTATAGAAGGAGAAAATGAGTACTAAACTTATTTGAATACGTATAAAAAACAGAATGATAGATTTTCTACTTCACTTAACAAACAATGTAATCAGTTAAATTCTGTATAATGCTAAAAGATTCAAACACATTATCTAATCTTCGGATAAAACTGAAAAAACAAAATACAATTATAGAACATTATTTTTTTATTTATTTCCTACTAAATTAATCGACACAATTTCGATTTGTATGGCAATATTGAGACAAGACATTTGCTATAACGTTGTATTACTTTTCTTTGAGTTGGTGGTTATCCTTTTTATTTTAATCTTTTGACCTACAGCATGCATCGTTTTTATTAACCATCCAAACAATCTATACCATTTAAAGTCTACAATATACAGCTGTACATATTTATGGTCTTGATGATAGTCATCTAGCAAACTCTGTCGATAGCATAATTATAAGCGGTCAGAGGAAAAAATTCTATTCAGTTGACAGCGTCACACGAGTTTTTCCATGATTAATTGCTTGAATAGGCATATCAGTAGATGTTTAGCACTCTTTATAACTTTGATTGGTCTGATGATAGTCTATTTATTTTGTTTAGTAATTTCCTTTCATTGATGCATGGCATATCAATACTCTTTGCTAGTCTGCAGATCCATTGGGCATAACTGTAGTGAAAAAAAAGAGGAAGTATTTTGAAAAAGTGTTCTGCCAACAGTGTCTTTTATAGTCTTCATTTATGAAAAGAAATGAGAAACAAAAAAGAAGACGTCTAATGCATATATCACATGGAATATAATTAACAAAGTATATTTACTTTGCTTTTATTGGATTTTTTTTATTTCTCTTACTGTTCGCTGTTTTTTCCATACTTTGTGGAAGTACGACAATTGGAGCGAGTGGTTGGTGTTATGTGTATAAACCCCCAGACACATTAGAAGACCCCCCACCCCTATAGTCGAGATGACCCTCTCTTGAATCAACAACCCAAATGATAGATTAGAGGACCTGCTCACCTGCTTCTAAGGGGATCGTCAGAGGAGATGAGTGGGTCTTCTCATCTATCCTTCGCTTCGTTGATTCAAGGGAGGGTCATCTCTACTACAGGAGTAGGGGTCTTCTAATGTGTCCGGGGGTTTAGATTAACACCGTCAAAAAATGCTACGCGTCTTACAAGACAGTTCATTCGTCTAGTTTTCCTATAATGCCCAAAGTCAATTATCTGTTGACATTTAACATATTAGCTGAGATATATCATATGAATTCTTTTCTTCAATTCAGATAGAAATATCATTAATATGACGATAAGAAATTCGAATTTCTTTTTATTAATTCTATTATTATTATCATTAATCAGTGCATTTAATCTACTCGGATCGACATCTAATGAGTTCTGTCGATTTTCACTGCCCGAGTTACAATGCAAAGTTGGTTAAATACGAAGAAAAATCTTCATTTGTTGTAAAATATAATTTTAGACTCAACTTGAAGTATTTGTCAATCGTCTCAATTCAATTGCATCTGTATTGTCATATGAATATTCTTAGTAAGTTAATATGTTACTTTTTCTTTTATTTAATGCTCAAAAAATTTGTTTTCCTTTCTGCACTGTCAATAACGAATCATCACCAGTTGAAAATCTTGGTCAAATTCTCGTTGGTGAACGAATTCGACTCTATATTTCTATCAATCGAACTTCTTTTTCTAGTTTAATTTTCTTCGAAATTCTAACAGTCGTCATGTATGCACAAAGAAATTTACATCGACTGATGCTAATCAACAAATAATGCTTGAACGTTTAATGAAAGGAATGATTTTAAATTATCAACAACAATGGATACTTGATAATATACCTATTATGTTATGTTATAGAAATACTGAAAATCGAGAATTTTGTTCCCGTAGTTTTCCTATTGGCTGTTATGTAACTAAAAGTGGTCAAACAAAAGAATCATGTAATATTCGTGATGGGCAAAATGATATATTTTATGTATTTAATCATTTGGATTTTGAAATAACTTATCATAATGAACTAGATAAAATATGGGAAAGTGCATTGAGTGAAGATAGTAGTCGAATTATTTCAGCGAAAATACAAGTTAATAGGTTTGTTGAATAAAATAATCATCTTATTTATTAAAAATTTTTGTTTTAGTTTAAATTCAAATAGATGTGATCGTGCTAATAAACCAGTTATGTTTCAATCGACAAGCAAAGATGTTGAAATTCCATTTTACATACACTGTACAATTTATAAAAAATGATGAAATACGTTGGACTAGTCGATGGGATTATATACTTAAAACATTGCTACAAGCACGTATTCAATGGTTTTCAATTCTAAATTCGCTTCTCATTGTATTATTTCTTTCGGGTTATGTTGCTATCATACTCTTACGTATATTATGTAAAGATAATCTTCGTTGTAATCAAATGATAGGTGCTGTAAGTTGAACAATTAAATCTCTCTCTATATATACTATTGTTTTATTTCTTCTATAGGGGTACTGCAAAAGAAGAATTCGGGTAGAAACTGTAAGGATTCATCTAATTCATATCTTCATTTTGATTTTGCATCGCATACAAGTCACTTTTTCGGCAGTGTTGTTGAGATTTTGTACTGTCTGTGTAGAGAAATATTCTGAATACAAAGACTCTTAGATGAGTTGTCTCCCAAACTTGGTGCCTTTTTGGGTTAATACTTTACTTAACAATAGATAAAGAGCAATTTGTCTTTATAGTCTCTATTTAGACCACTTATCATATATTAGCTGGATTTCCGATCTTTAGCAAAGAACTTCTCACAAATAGAAAAAGACATTCAAAGCTAACACTTAACCTTTATGCAGATCTCATGGTTATTAAAATGTCTTAAGATCTTTTCAGCAAAACTATCTGATATTAAATGTATGTCACAAGTAAGTAAGAGAATCGAAGCATTAAGTCATTGTATAGTCTAATAGTTTGTAGGTAGAGATCATCGAGTAAGATTCGATTCAAGAAACGTGGACTGACGAACTCTAATATCGACAATCTAAGGTGTGTTAGTCACCGAATACAAATAGTAAAAGAATAATATCTACATCTTCAAAGCTACTTTCGAAGTGCAATAAGAAAAATGACAGCAATTAATAAATATAATTTCGTTTTGAACTCTTTTTCTTCTTTGAATTTTCAAGAATCCCGGGTTTATAAACCGCTCTCGAGCTAGAATTGTTCCCCGTTGTTTTTCCAGATTTTTGAGAATGATTGAATGTTGATCTATTTACTATCCAATCTAATATTATTTAGTTTTTATTTTCTTTTTTTTACTGATAGAATTGATGGTGATGTATTTCTGCCACCACAAAAAGTATGCTTTTGTCTATCCTTGTTGGTAGTGGTGTTCAAATTACAATGACATTTCTGATTACATTAGGTAGATAGTTTTGCTTATTTTCAATTGTTCTCAATTTTTGTTTATTTAGTCTTCGCTTCGCTTGGTTTTCTCTCACCAGTCAAACCTAGTGCTCCACTGACTTGTAAGTATTTTATTCCGTTCATTCTGTTCCTGTCTATTTTATTTGGTTCATTCAGGGCTAATATCAAGTTATGTTCTTTTGGGCACTCCAGCTGGTTATACTTCAGCTCGTTTATATAAAAGTATGAGGCAATATCTATCAAACGTATGACGAATTGATTTTTCATAGTGTTTGGAGGTGAACATTGGCAGAAAATTGTTCTAACAACAGCTATTACATGTCCAAGGTAACATTTTAATCATTGATTTTTCTAAAAATAAATTACTTCGTTCTTTATTTCAGCTTGAGGGTGTGGGTATGAATGTGATAGGAAAGAACCACAAAATCCACACCCACACCTCACATCACACACCCCACAAGTTTGAAATGTTAGAAATGGTGTCTGAGAAATCCGAGAAGTGTTTTTTTCAATGTCATATTGAGGAAGATGCAATCTTTTCGCCTGTATTGATCTTTTTTCTGTCGTTCAGTATTTTTTTGTTCTTGTTCATGATGAAATTCGATACTCTATATATCTGTATGTATGTGTCTACTCGATCTGAGGAGAATGCTTGTCCATGGAACGGATAAACAGTGATGTTTATTTGTTAGAGTATCTAGGAATCCGACGGCAGATTTCGTACGTTTTTCCGGAATGGTACGAAAGATGGTTAGGTTTGCGGTGCGGTTCGTTACCGGCGTTTTTCATTGCATTGTGATGTACGTTGACCTGAAGTTTCAATCATGGTTCAGGAATTTTCTTGTTTACCGCAGAATTGTCGCGAAAATGACCGAAAGAATCTTGTGGATTCAGGTTTTCCTACGTTGATTCATTAAAATCCAGGAGAAGGCTCCTTGATTGAAAGTTTCCGAAGTTCTATCATATTCTGCTAACTTATGAGCTTTGATGTTTTTCCATGTATATTGATTTCACCAGTTCCAAGCTTGATGAAGCTTTCTCTATCGATGTATCTCCCGATCTGCGTTCACTTCCACAACTAACATAATCACTCGTGCTTTTCGGCTAGTTCAACCGCTTGTGAAACGCAACATCTGCTCAGGCATAATTTCTAGAACCACTCTGGTCACACTAGTAGTTTTGACTTTACTCACAAATAATTTTAAATATTGTGAAACGGTTATCACCAATCGATAGAGCTTGTTGAAATCCACTTGAGACAGTGATCAGCTAAAATGGAACACTAGCTGAACGAATTGATGCAAGAGTTAGTCGAAAGGGATGCTAACTTCACCTACGTAAACTACTTAGTTTTATTTTATTTTATTTTAATTTAATTTAACTTAATTTTTTTATTGTATTGTTTACCATTACTTTAAAATCATTACCCAAAAGTTGAATACAATAATAAAATAAATTAGAATTAAACTGTTACTTTGCGGCTAATGGCACGAGATGAAGGAAGTAGGAGTAGATCGAGAATAAAGGTGGAGATCAAAAAATGTCTAATATTCATATATACGAATTCAACACAATTTCTTCGAATCGCAGGTGTACTTGACATTCTGCGACTGTCGAAAATCGTCGGATCCGACGTTGGAGAACTTCTGATAGGAATCCAATACTTGGGAATCTGAGGAACCCCTCTATTTTCCGACAACTTTGAATAGGATTCTGTCAGAAATGATCGGATTAATCTGAGAATCTTATGAGCTCCAACAGGATCCAAGTATAGGACTCTTCGTTCCAGATCTTCATATCTGATGTGTCTAAAAAGGTTTTAATTGTTATCTCAGATCATTTTTGACTGTGTCCTATCTAATTAGGCTATGAAGATTGAAGAAGAGTGTTATGGTATATTCTAACTACATACACCTCAATTCTATCTATTCTCTCTTTTTTGATATTTTCGTTTCTATTATTTCGTTTCTGTTGCGTTTCTGCGTCCTTGTTTTCTCAAAGAATAAATAGAGAGAAGAAAATATATACAACTTTGACAGTTTTTGTCGCTCTTCGTGAGCGTTAACCCTAACAAAGAGGTTTCTAAAAATACAGATAAGATTTATATTCAGATGAGACTTCGAGTTTAGTAAAAACTATTATCCAATTCTTTGTATCATCACGGCTACCTATAATTACCTTGAAATTAAAACTGATTGCCATCACTATAACCATCATCTAACATATCAATAGGTAGTAAAAATTTTAAGTAAAAGACATTTTTATCGTCTCATTTGATTTTTGTTCTTGTTATCATGCTTGATTCAGGGGAAGTATTATTCGTTGAATGGATGTTTTTATTATGATAAAACAGTCGAAAAAACGTTAGGTGTTGGATGATGTTCTTTAGTAGATTGTGAAGAATTGAATTTCAGGTACAGCATGTTTAGTAATAGATCTTGTTATGTACAAAATTAGACAGCTTAAATTGTTTTTTATTTGTGTTGCGAATCATTTGGTTGACCGTTGATTATTATTGGTTGTAGATGTAAACAATAGATGAATTATTTGATTATAGAATGATCTATTTATGAAAAATATCGATAGTTTCGTTCTTGAACATCAGAATTCGGCTTGCCCGCCATTGATTAGTAGTTGATCGTATTCGTATTCTGTTGTTCTCTTTTTTTCCCTCTGTATCACTAGCTCCAGAAAAGCCATAAACCGAAACAGATCTATCAGTACTGTTTAATACGGGTTTTGCTATCTTCTTATTATCCCTTTACCTCTCAGCAATAAATCAGCAGAGCTGATGTTGAGCCTATTACAGAAATAGATCATGTGAGTACTCAATATGACAATCTTCTTCTAAAATTTAATTCAAGTTATTTTACTGTGGAGATACAAAAAGGGATTAAAATAAACGAATCGTCTTAAATGAAATGAAATTGAACTTTTTTCTAATCTGATTTCTTAGTTTTTTTTAGAGTTACGAAATTATTTATCTATATAAAGCTAGATGGGCCTTACTATAGTTTGATCAACTAAAAGCTCGAGTAAAAAACTTGATTTTTTCCTGTATCTGCAGAAAAAACAGTTTTGAATCAAACTTTAACATCACAGTAAAATAGTTACTATCATATTATAGGCTACAATTCCAAGCTAAGATTTGTTTTCTTTCCTACAGATACAGAAAAAAATCAAGCGTTTTACTCAGACTTTTAATCGACCGCACTACACTATGAGTTGTTTTCAGAAAAAGAATTATTTTCCAAAAGAATACATGATAACTGTAATATCACTAAAACCAAACTTTGCAATGCAAAGATATGAAAGAAATCAATTTCTAGCGGGTCATACGTGTGTCTTTTAGTTAAAATAATCACGTATTACATCATGGCATCAATGTACTAGACGTTTAGAATAGTATGCATATGTCTTCATGGAGCAACTTCCACTATTAATTCGAAAATGTAAACTTCGTTGAGCTTGTGATCGATGTGCTAAATCATCAAAACGAGTCATACTTGAAAAACTATAGACAACTTTTATGCTTTTTGGTGGATCAAGATCATTTTTGTCATTGCCTGATTCCGATGATGAATAATGTGTAGCTAATACTTTTAAAATTTGACGTTCAGTTGTTCTTGATTCCTGCAACATTACATTTGCTATTAGTTAAATCTGTACGATCTCTATTACATTTCATGTAGCCTTTCCTTCATCCTATAATTAATTATTAATTACTAAAAAATTCCATCGATATTCAAACAATGATATTTATACTAAGACTGGGACTAAATTCGAGTCTTGATCGTTGATTGGAATCGGATCATGAGTACGAATTCATCTTGGCAACATCATGAGAAACGACTGTTCACGCTCATGTGTGAAAGGGGTATTTGAAGTTTGGTTTTACTAGGATACTGGTATTGAACGATAAATCATCGCCAATAGAACATTATTATTTCATCGTTGCTGTGTAATTACTTCAAAAAAATAAATGAATGCGTAGTATAATGCACATGTTTATCATCATTCTATTCATTCTCAATCGTCATGGATTAAATTGCTTGTTTGACGCATAATAGAACAGGCAAAACAAAGAGAATATTCTTATGAAAAAAAAATATCTCCTTGAAATATCATGCGCAGGTAATGACGCGTGGAGATAAATGCATAATAGACAAACGCATTCTTTCCAAGTATATATATATACGAATCATAATGATTCGCTCTCACTCATAAAATAACGTTGATACAGTATACTCTTAATCTAATCGTGAACGAACAAGATTTCAAACGAATATAACGAGTAAATTTGTGTGTTTCGAAATTATAGTCTTTTCGCAAAACTGTTGTGACTATCAATGTCAAGCGGATTCTTCTATCCTTAAATAGAATCACTAATCTTGTAACCGTGCAGTATTGTATTCTATTGTCCTTCGTAAAGATTTGGTCCTGATTAAAATGAAATAAATTGATATGTGATATACCAATAGTAATGAGACTTTTGAAGAAGGTATGCTTTTAAGTGGGTAATTGGAGACGAATGCGCTTAAGATAATACCTTGACAGTGAATTGTTTTCATAGCGCTAAATACAACTTTCGCAACTATTTTGCATTGCGATCATGCTTCAAAATTATTTGAGAGCATAAGTTCAAATTATAGATATAGCATGTTTTCTGAATAGCAAATATTTCATACAAAGGTTTATTTGATTTCCATCTCAAATAAGAGGAAATATATATAACCTCCTCTTTTTGAATAAGGAAACTACGGTATTAACCTTTCAGTCTTAAGTTCTTTCTTTTGTCATAATTTTTACTTTTCAGCTATTTATAAATCTCCAACATATACAAGAGAAATAGAGAAAAAAAAACAAAAGAACGAGGGACAAGAACACAAAGGCAGGAGATAAAGAGAAGGGTAAGGGGATAGTAAATATTATTGTCTTGGTGGGACTGAGCTATATAATAAAGAAGATGACGTCAAGCATCTTCTTTCCAAATGCAGTTAAATTTAGGAAAGGAGAAAAGGTTGAGATTTTATTGAGATTCTCAAGGACGAAAGGAAAGAAAAACAGAGGAGAAAAAAGAAAAAAGAACGAAAAAAGATTGACTTATATGCAAAGTGAATAATACATACTAGAGAATGAAGACACATAAACGTATGCACACAACAAAGATAAAAAAGAAAATACGAAATAACGTTGAATATTGCTCGCGTGTTTCCTACCATACGAGATGTAGTGGATCCTTAGCAATAGCCCTGCATGTAAGTATCTATATACTCCTTTTGTGAATGCGGGACTAGGGGTATACATGCTCTTGAGAATTTCTCGTTCATATATATATATATATACATAATTCTAAGAGTAGTTGCGTGATTCGACTTCGAATATATTTGAAAATTTAAAAAAAACATCGGAAGCCTTATTGACAGAAAAGAATTATTTCAATATTATAAATGACGGACGGCTCTCTTATTGATACAGCAGAAAAGCGAAAAAACAAATTACTCAAATTACAATTCGAATCATAATAGAGATAGGACTGTCAATAACTATAGTGGAAAGCCAGAAAAAATATTTCAGTTGAATTATAAATTATCACTGGGATAGGGCTCCCCTATGATTAGAATAAAAAGCTAGAAAACAATTTCACTCGAAGTATAATTCAACCACCTGTTAACCGGGACTAATTGACATGAATATATTTGTCCACGGTAACTCAGTCTTCAAAAGAGCACCACTGGAAAATGGCTCAATGGTGAAAAAATCATAACTTCATTGCTGTGTACGCTAATATTTTCAAATATCAAAACTCAAATTTTTTTCCAGCTAATTCAACATTTATTTTGTGCTGTAAATCATCTCTTTTAGATATCGAGCTTACAACTTTGATTGCAAAGCTTCTAGCGATAAAGAATCGTTCATCGCACAAGAAATGTTAACGAAAGTATTATATGAAAAAAATATGGACATTATAGGGAAGCCGTAAGTTTGTCAAAGCTTCTTTCAACAACATTACCACTAACACGCTAATATTCTTCTGATCAAAACGAAACATTTCCAAATGTAAACTCTCTCATTTCGATTGACACTCATTTTTAAATAAGTCATTGTCAGTTGTGTAATGCTGTAGCTTTGATTGAGTATAACGGTCTTTGAAATTGAGTTATGACCTTTATTTCGATCACATCTCGACCTGTTCTAGAGCTTTTTCGAATAAAATTAGGTTTTATATTTTCGGTCTGAATATTCGCACATGTGCAATTCTCATTGTTACTGCCTCTTACTTAAAGTTTCAGTTTGACTGAATGCTTCTGCGAAATATTAGTTTTTCACGTAGATCAAATGTTTCGATTTTCTTCCATAAAATATGTAGTCCTAAAGAATTCAACATCTGAAAATGAAAAGATCGATTTAGACGGTCACATTTGGAACATTTTGGTAACCATGGAGCTGATCTCAATGCTAATTTTCAAATAAAGGACAATCAAGATCCAATTCAAGTTAAGCAATTACAATACTTTCTATGAGCGATAAAATGACCTATAGTTGGCGTCGAAAAACTATTTTGTACTTGAAAATCTTACCTTCTCAGCTGAACATTAACATAGCTTTGACTTTCTGTGATCCAGAAATGAATGATGCACCTTCTCTGCGTTTTTATTTCAGAAGAATATATACTAAACAGATCGGCTTTGGCATTGAAAGACTCTTTAGTGTAATTTTACTTGGATTTCTCGTCACGATCATATTTTTATTAATATGCATGTTTCTTACAAAATGTAATACCAACGTCGTGTCGGACTACAACACAGGTATGTCAACTCTCTCTTTCAGCGAAACAGTAAATCATGTTGCTTATTGAGGTATTATTGTAAAATGTTTAGAAATAATATGATAGGACAGAAAGGATGAAAAATTCAGTTTTCCACTAATGAAAACTTATAATAGAGAAAATCTGATTAGAGCAGCACACGATGAGTCTTTTTAATAAAAGATTGTATTCAAGATGGCTGAAAGACTTGAGCTTGTTAAAAAGAAGTTTTGATTGTTTCACACCCATTTTTTCATCATGTTGTTCAACAGTAGTCAGTTGTTAAGAAAAAGGCTATCTGTCATGTAATGCATAATAATCATCATCTTTTAATGATGCTTTACACAAAGAAATTTTTTCTATTTTCGAATTTGAACATTATTCATTATTCAATTTTTTCTGTTATTTATAAAGATTTAAAAACTGTTCAGTCGAAATTTACTTTTATCACCAGTATATTCTTCGTTTTCTGTAACAGAGAAGTGATTCTCGCAATCAGACAGCTCTTCTGTCTAGCGACGGCTGTTTGAAGCAGTCTTATGATAAAGCCATGCATTATAAGACCTTCAAGTCAGTAATATCTCTTTATATTATATATCTTTTTCATCCGTAATCAGATGAATAAGAACTTAGTTGACAAGTGTATTATACTTCTCAACGATTATAATGATCTTTCACCTAACGTAGAATTGTAATTGTCCATGCACGAATTTCACTGTTCAATATATTCAAAATTATTTTGTATAAATTATTTCAATGGGAAACATATGACGATATGCATGGGTTCATTTGAGTCATTTGAAATTTATGGAATTCTCAGAAATCGAAGCCCTAATTATTTTCAGACTAAATATCATTGGCATGAACATAAATCAGAAAATAGCAAGACATTTTGGAGTTTTTTTTAATGAAAACATTGAGAAAATGAACTAATCGTTAATAGTACCATAAGAAACTCAACAAGAAAACTGCCGCATAATCCACTTCACATGTAAGTGTAGCTGATGACTGCATGCAGATGGAGTAAGAACCACAGCGCACACTATCTAGAATGATAACAATAGAGAAAGGATTAAGAGTAGTTTTTATCTATTGAGTGTTATTCGACGTTCGTAAATCAAGTTTTTTGTATATTAATTATCTTAGAACAAATTTTTCAGCAAATGATTCATATTATTGAAAAAGATCCTCTTAGAAACGACTGTCGATTTTGATTATTCATTTAATATTGTAGAATCTGGCGAAATCACGCAACATTTTTTCTCAAACTGGATGCCAAACAAAAATCATAGTACGAAAATCATCAATACGCATGAGATTGTTCGAAAAGTAATCGTATTTCAATTAGTTATTACATATCTTTAAACTAATTAAATTGAACAAAATTCTAGTTAGAAGCTCTCTATGGTATCGAATCAGGTTCGATCCGTATCAGCACAATTGTGATCACTAATAGTGAAGCCAATGCCGATGATCGTTGTTGTCACCTGCAACTTCCAGAGGAAAAACGTGGAATGTAAGTCTTCATTTTGCGTGACTTTTTCTGTAATCTACATATCTGCTCTCAATATTTGTCTAACTTTATTTGAGACTTAGGTGTGATCAGTTGGGATCAGATGGCTCATTTGTAGAAATAAATATTTATATAGTCTATCCGGAAACTTGTGTCACATATAAGCCTTGCAAAGACGATTTTGCTAATGTTATTCAGGCTCGTATCGCTAAATATACTTCAACTATTTCACTGGAATTCAAATTTGATGACAAAAGCTCCAGTGAACTTGTACTGATCAGATGTAAGAAAATTAGTAATTGGTCATTAAGTTCTTTAATA